TATACTTGCTCTAAAAATCTAAACTAATTTTTTATATTCGAATTGCCTCATTATTTCACACAGTTTCACACAATAAGGATATGATTTTTGAAAATTACAATTGAAAAATACTTAACACGTGTCCTTTTAACAATAAAACAATAAATTCCAAAAAGCAATTAAAAAATAATTAGAAAACCCAACGAAATTAACTGGAAATTTCAATATGCAAAATACTTTATTGACCTGCAAATTCTGATGAAAAATAATAAAATGATACAACAAATGCACCAAAATTTTTATTTTAATATTTTTTTCTTGGTTTTCCCACAATCTCTATTTTCAATTGGAAAACATAAATTTACTTTTTACCTGTTTTTTTGAATTTTATTTATGAACAAAAAACAAAATTCTCTTAAAAAAAGGTAGGCAAAAAACTTAGTTGATTCACTGTATACGCTGGTTTCCCGCTTTAACGAATACTCAGTTTAGTGAATTCGCGATTTAACGAAAGGGCAAATTGTTTCCATTGAGTACCTTGTATTAGGAATGAATGAGTAAATTTTGTAATCGATATAACGAATTTGAAAAAAAAATTCTATAAAAAATAATACGGAGAGATCACTAAACTTCATTATTAACCAAAAGCAATAACATATTAAGATTTTATATAAGTTCAATGCCCAATTCAATGGGTAAAAAATTTACAAAAAAATCCTGGAATAGAAATGAAAATAACATTTAAAAAATTATTTTCGGAAATATAAATAAGATTTATTATGTAGACATACATTTTAATATAAAATTCTTTATTTAAGGGAATATTATGATTATTTTACGAATAAAGTGAGAAATGGTATTGTTTGTAATGAAATTTACCGTAAAATACTTAGAATTCACATCGATTAAAATGGGGATCAAGTCCCTAATTTCTTTTTTTATAAGAAAAGAATTCATTTTCGAAATGAAACAACTTTACATACATTAAACAAAAATTTAGTTTTTTACATAATTTTAATAAAATTTTTCATAAAATATTTAATTTTCTTTTGATTCTAAATTCATAAAAATGCAAGGAAATTGTCAAAAACTTTATGTGTGCATTCAAAAAGATTTGAAAAATTGACTTCCTACTTTCCATTACCCCATTTTTACCATTAAATCATAGAAAAGTTGTTATTCGTTTTAACGAATTTTTCGTTTTTACGAATGGGCCTGATATATCTTTCGTTAAACCAGGAAACCACTGTATTCCCATAGTTCCCAGTGGGAGCATAGTGCCTTAGCAAATCCTTTCCATTCAATTTTATCTATTTTTTCATTTATCGACATGTATCGCCTTATTCTAGGGCTTCTACCTCTACGTTTTAGACAGTTTAGTTCTTCAGCAACTACCCTGAGGATTCGAACCCCCTGCTGTTCATGCGATATCATCATGTGTCTTTCCAATCAACATCCACTTGCGGACTTGAATGTCTAGGACACATATAAAGGATATTAAATTTGTCGATTGCAGATGTGTGTAGCATTGAAAAAATAAAACAAGTACGAAAGTATAGTCGGGCGTGACCGACCATATTATACCCTACACCAGTTATGAATATTAAATGTAATTTATTTTTCATAATAAAGCATTTATCTTCAATATACCGAATATAGCCGAATAATTTTGAAAATTATACAGGAGAGCATAAAAACATCACAAAACTTTTAAATTATATATTTTTGATAAACTTTTTAAATATCTCAGATATCATTCATAGCTATCCCTCTGAAAAATTTCAAATCACAACTTGCAAAAATCGACACTTGAAATTTTGCTAAAATGGAATAAGGGCATATATCCGTATATTTTTGTTGAATATGTTCTGAAATAAATGATTTTTCATGTACTTATTATCAACTAAATTGGATAAAATTTGGACAGCATCAACATAAGAGACCATAGTATAATTTGCTTAAGTTTCAAGGAAGTCCTTGATTATCCTTTAATATTATTAAAGGACAAAAAATTAAATCACTATTTTTAGAGGTCTGGACAATGTCAACTATAGTTATTATTATTACTTTAATGCCTTATAAGGACGAAAACCTTCTTAACTTAAATCTGTTTAAAACCTCAAAAATTGTCTTGTTAATATATACTTATATTTATATATATATATATGCCCTTTTTGTTGTCCATATTGAGATTAATATTAAAATAATATTTTTTTGCAATATATTTAAGGAATTCATGGAACTGAAATGTGCTCCTCCCATTCTGTAAATTTGATGCAATTATAATAATTATTTATACGATTTTTAACAAAAAAATACTTGATGAATCTGATATTTTTTTGCCTTAAATAAAAATTAATATTACAAAAACGTGCTATCAAAGATAAATATTTTGGTGAAAACTTAGGATTTTTCAATTTATCTCTTCAGGAATAGATGTAAATAGACCATATGAACACTATACCGTCAAAAAACGCGGTTTGGGAAAAGTGGTCTTTACGCCCTTATACGCATCCATGCTTCAATTTATGGATGAAAAACTAATTTTCTGAAAGAGGCTAGAGGCAAATATGGACCAAGCCCGATAAAATTTTGTGAATATTTTTATATTTATATAATATTTATTTGTGCTGAATTTTATCGTGATATTTGTGTTTATAAGTTAATTTTGGACATTCATGTAACTTTCTGAAGGGGACTTTGTATGGGGGCTAGGGTCAAATAAAGTATATAGAACTAAGTTTTGCCGATTTTTGTAGAGATACTACAATATTTAACATAATTATTAACTTAAAAATTTCATCAAAATATCTTGAAAATTACGACCCGTAACTTGCGCACAAGGTTTACATGAACAGCCTAGACGGACATGGCTTAATCGACTCAGAAAGTGATTCTGAGTCGATCGGTATACTTTAAGGTGGGTGTAGGACCAATATTTTTGTGCGTTACAAACATCAGCACAAACGTATAATACCCTCCCCACTATGGTGGTGTAGGGTATAAAAATATAAATATTAAACTAAATCAATTATTTTAATAATTTAAACATAAATCGACCTATATTTATTAACTAAATTGGTGGCATAATTAAATATATATTTTTGAAAAAATAAATATAATATGATCAATATAAATCACGATATTTGTCTTGTCGCTATATATGTATATTGTTTATCATCTTAAAATATTTATTGTTTGACAATTTTTTTTCAGTGTTTAATCATTTAACATAAAGTAAAAGTACACAAGATTCATGTATTTTTTAAAATTTAAATTTACATTGGCTACCAATAAAATATTTATATAATTTGTTTAAAGTATTTATGCTAACTACATCGAACAAAATTCAATTCATTCATAATTATTAGTACATTCCAAAATCATTTGGATTGTCCAAATTGAATTTTACTCTCTGCTTAGGAAATATATATGTATTATATGTATATTATCTTAAATTTTATTTATATAAATTAACTAGGTTCCAAATTCTTATTACAAAAATATACATATATTTACACCATGCGCAATGTTTTCAATAAATTTAACAAAAATAGTTCTCGATAAATTTTGTTTTGATATTAGTCGAATTTTGCATGACGACCAATGAAAAAATTAGTACAGCATTTAAAACAAATATAATCTGTAAATAATGTATTTTGCACAGATTTACGTGCAACTTTTTAGAAAAATAAATTTTATTTCCTTTTAGTTACTTTTTATTTATTATTATTATTTTAATTTTATTTTTACTTTTTTCTTGGATAAAATTTTGTAACATTTATTATTGTTATAACTTTAAAATTTATTGTTCATATTTCAAATTGGGAGGAAAATATATTACGAATGTTTTGTACAAATGGCCACGTATAAATACAACAATTTGATAGTATCATATAAAATACATTAAGGTAGAAATTTAAAATGTAATTTTAAAACATTGCGCGCAGATGAAAGTAATATTAAAAAAACTATATTTACAATTAATTAGAATAATAACATAATTAATCATTATATAACAAATAAACTCAATAAACTCCCAAATAAAAATAAAAAAAGAACATTAAATAATTTAAACTAAAATTACTTCATTAATATCTTATAAAAGTCTTTTCTTTCATTTGTTTTTAAAGTCTTTGTGTTAAGAACTGAGAAAATATTGTTAAAATTTATGAATAGGAAATTTAACCCAACATTTTTTATAAATATATTTTTTTTTGTAATACATTTTGTATAATATAAATCTATAATATAAATCTTTTAATTTAAATTTTCATTGTAATTTGGATTATCTGACTAGTAATTATGTACGTAAATAATGCATGCACAAAATCTTATTATTTTAATACTTTATAAGTCTAGTTATTTTTATTTTATGTTTAATTAAATGCAAATTCCTGGAAGATTCCGGCTGTTAGCAGGTTTTTTCTTTTAATATTTTTTATTATAATTTGTGTTTTGTATCGTTTTTTATTTTTGTTCATTTTAAAAATATAAAAAGAATTTCATTAAAATCTATCGTTAAATATGTATGTATCTTGCTTTTTATGGATTAATTATACACACTCACTCGACATGTTTGTGCGGTTTATTGTTTGTAATTAGCTATTAATTTACCCCAAATACATCTAAATGTATACATGGATATAAGGGTGATCGATTATTCAAATAGTTTACTTTTGAAAAAATAAAAATAGAACTATTTTAAAATTCGAAAAAAAACTGATTTACCGATATTATTCCATATATGCATAATTTCCATGGAAAATATGCATATAATGCACATTTAAACTGATATAATCAAATTTAATATACTTACAGCGTCTGACAAAACTAAAAAATTGTTATTTCTTAATCCAAAAAGAAGAATAAAATCATTATAAAAACCATTAAAATAATGTTGTTTAAAATAAAAAGTAGTAGTGAATGAATATGTTATATAAGAAAAATGAATATGTTATATAATTATATAATTTGTTTAAAAAATATATTTTAATTTTAAACAACATTAATTTCGTTGTTTTAACAATTTTTAAAATTTTACTGAGTTTTTCTAAGATGTAAAAGTTAGTGAACATTATTTTCATTGTTTTTACTTTATTCTTCTTAGAAATTTGAATTAGGAAATAATCTTTTTATTTTTATTTTACTACATTTTTTTTAAACAAGTAAAATTTCGTGCATACGTTTTGTCCAACACTATGTAGTATTCTTTTAATATATTCAATTTCCTGTTTATTATTTCAATTACTTTAACTTTCTCCTCTAATGGACCAAAAATTAGTTTAGCTTTCGTTCGCAATGAAGTTAGTATGTATGTGGCAACGGGTCACATTCAGAAAAATGTAAAACAAGTTTGAACTACATAATTCAGAATTAAGCTATGTTCAAACTAAGATAAAATTTCCCAGTAAATACTTGCAATGAGATAGTAAAATTTAAATTTACGAAATTACTCTCAAAATTATTAAAAAGTAAATGAACCCTTTACTGGTAAAAACTTTAAAGAAAGCAAAAACGTGAATTTTAAACCGTTTATATGTTCATATTTATATGTTCATATATTACATATTTATCCGATTTTGATCATTTTATACTATGATTATTGCCTATGTGTTGTAGTCCGATAATATTTTATTTAAAATATTATGGTCTTAAAATAAGGATAATGATATCAAAAATTATTCTTGAATCAAGGACATCTTAAAAACGGTATCTCCCATTTTCATTATTCCTTTACTAAAATTGGTTTATAGCATCAGCAACAACATATAAAAAAATCAGAATGAGACCACGAGAGGATCTCTAGAAAATCTAATTTTAGTAAAAAAATGGATCTTACTTCCGTAAAAATTTTAAAATTTGTAATTTTCCTTTTTGATGAATCAAATCAAATATGTATGTATATGGGAAAATTTTTCACAAAATTGAAAACCTTAAAGGCCTATAAATAAAAAACGCGAGCTAACTTTTTTAAACCCTTTGGCGATTTTGGTCTACTGATGGTCTACTTTCATTTCCCCTTGGTCTTATTCAGGAAAGATTTTCTTGTTGCACAGTGCAATAAGTAAAATGAAGAACTAATTAATATAGTTAAAATATGTATATCAAAACAATAATATATCCGCTATTAGATGTGCAGAAAACTAATTCACAGAATAAATAAATGTATAATTATTAAAAAAATAACAACATTAAAATATAAAAAAATTTTGATATACATTAAAATTTCGACTTATCACTCAATGTTGTAAAATTTCTAAATAAAAAAATAACAATGTATGCATACATTTTACAAAGTATGAACATTTTAAGGGACATCCACTAAGTTTGAGTTAACATGAGTAATATGTATGCACTCTTCTCAAGTAAATGTCTTGTGGATAACAAAATAAATAAAATTGAAAATTGTTATGAAGATCACTGCTTTTTACATTACGAGTATTGTGTTTAAATGTTTTGGTTTCGTATCTAATAAAAAAATAAATTTCTTTATAAATATTTGGAAATACCTTATAGTGTAGTTATACTTAGTGAACTCTTATAGCTTGGTATATTTGTGTGGAACATACTGGACAGCTTGCGTCATTTTGTTGACATAAACGATTTGCACACAGGGAACAAAATATTGTATGACCGCAAGGTATCAAAGCAGCAACAATATCTTTTTCATGGCACATCCAACAATTTTTACGTTTGAGCTTTTCTAATAATTTAGTTTTCGAAGATATTTTAAGCTGCTGCTGTTGCTGAAGTATTGCTGTTTTGTTAACATGTTCACCAAAAAGTGAGTCTGTAGGACTTATAGACGTTGATGTTGGAGAACAATATGAATTGGTTAGCGCCGCTAAAGTGTTGGGTAAGCCCCAACTATATAAAGGTGACTCACCGATGCCTTCATCGATATCGATGTTATCATTATTACCAGTACTGCCAGATGTTCCATTAGTTGCTGCTGCTAATGTTGAACCACCATTTAAAGATTTCCAAAATTGGACATTGTTGTTGTTGCCATTATTATTGAAGCTCTTTGTAGACGATGCTGTTGAAGATGCTGAAGAGCAGGAACGGGTAAGTAATGCGTTTGTAGCCAAGTTATTTTGTTGATGTAAGATTCCGCCGGTACTGTTGTTTGAATTTTCTAAGAGACTAACGGTATTTATTACCGATTTCAAATTTCTTATAGCACTTGAATTATTATTTGTTATTTGTGTAAAATTTGTATTTTGCTCATTAACAAATTGTGTGGCATTTGTTTCCATTATATTATTAATGAAATCATTGCAGTTCAATGGCATATTACTATTATTGCTGTTGCCTGAATTCATCGTTACACGTCGCTGTATATCGCTTACGGAAATAATGCTTGGATTAATCTCATTGTTGACGAATCCGTTAAATGGAGTTGAAGCATTTAATTTATTGGTCGAGTTCAAAATGTTACCACCGATTTGACTATATTCCAATGCTGAACCTATTCCATTTTTATAAATTGAGGATAGAATTTCTGATTGCAAATCATCGTTCAGCATTTGGTTTAAAGAATTCAAAGAGTGAAAAGTTGAATTTTGATTAGAAGGTAAATTTTCATTAATGCAATTAATTCCACCAGCTGGTGCAGGAGGTGGTGGTGGAGGAGGAGGTGCTGCCGGTACAGCCAAAGAATTGCCAGTACGCGTAGCAATATGTGCCTCAATTTGTTTTCTAGCCATTTGAACATTGTCCGGCATGCCGGTTACTTCAAATATTGGCTCTTTGTCTCGAGATGGCGTGACAATATAAGTTTGAGTCTCGTGCTGAATATGCTTAATAGTATTACCTTTCGGTCCTACAACCAAGCCCACAACTCTATATGGTACTCGTACTTGAATTGTTATTTGACCCGGTAATGGCGTAGTGGACGACAATGAGTTCTTATTTAATGATAGCATATGCCCACTGCTAATGGTATTTCCGCCACCTGTTAAACTCGTCGAACATCCATTAATGCCATCATTTGTACGCCGTGTTGCACGTATTAATGTAAAATGTTCAGCAGCTGACAAAATTTCGCGTTTAGCTTTAGCAACATCCTCCTTACGACCAGTTACTACAAATACGGGCTCTTCATTTCGAACAGGAGTTTTAATATATGTATTTGTTTTAGCCCGCAGTGCTTTTATTTTGCAACCTGAAAGTAGAATAAGCGTTTTTATAGTAATAAATATATTTATGCCACAAGATTTGTGTAATTACAACAAATAAGGTTTTAAGGCAATAAGTAATGTTATTAAAGAATGTGAAATAGCTCACTTTTTAAAAATCAGAGTGAAATACATCATTTACTACCAGACCGACATAATTTGAAAAAATATTGTCTTGAGAAAAACGGCTTGGTGTTACTCCCCCTATTGCTAGTCCCTAATTTTTTGTCCCAAATATTCATGTTGATACTAACTAAGTGACTCCGAAAAATTAGAGGACTCTAGGTATTATATTTTCTCAGATATACTAATTTAAGGTTTTCTTTATATGGGAGGGACCATGCCTACTATAGCTAGTCCGCCCATATTGTCCCCATATGTTCATGTGGATGTTAAAGTTGTCCATACAGAATTTGAGGACTCTAGCTGTTGCAGTTTCTGAGATATGTGATTTTAAATACTTATTATGTATGTGGGCGTGGCACTTTACCCACATGAAATTTTAAAATAAAAAGGCTATAGTTCCCCCAAAATATTCACATAGATGTTAATCTGCTTCGAGCAAAATTTTAAGATTCCAGCTCCAATAGTTTCCCAAAATAAAATTTTTTGTATTTAATTCATATGGGAGGTACCACACCCCCTATTGCTAGTCCGCTAATTTTTTGTCCTAAGTATTCATGTTGATTCTAAAGGGGCTCCGAAAAATTGGAGGACTCTAACTGTTATATTTTCTCAGATACACTAATTTAAGGTTTTATTTATATGGGAGGGGCCACGCCCACTATAGGTAGTCGGCCCATCTTGCGATTAATCGGTGAGTGTTTGAAGATATCATCTGGGTCTGGGTAATACAAAATCTTCGTGTTTCGAGTTCCCAATGACGGGTAGTTACAAAAGCTCAGAGGTTTCCTCTTGTAGTACACAGAATCTACATAGATTCATCATGACATTTCAAGTGTAAATTTATGGTGTCTAAGACCACAATATCCAGTAATTCCTTGCTACTAATGTTAAGGAAAAGTTCTGTACCAATTATCATTAAGCTATTTAAAATTCCTCAATTTGCTCATTTTTTCACTAATTTTTCTTGGGTATTTTGTAATTTTAGTACAAAAAAAGTTTTTTTCATAAAAATAAAAAGTTTTCTTCAAAAAATATATGGCAACACTGCGCCCATATGTTCATGTGGATGTCAAAGTTGTCCATACAAAATCTGAAAACTCTAGCTGTTGCTGTTTCTGAGATATGTAATTGTAAATATTTATTATGTATGTCGGCGACAATGTGACCATTTTGGCATTTTTGCAGCTAGATTTAGCATTTTTTATTTTAATTTAGCTATAAAATTTTAATTTACCATTTGGCATTTTATTTAGCATTTTTATCAAATATTTTTAGCATTTTTAGCTTTTTTTTTGCAATTTTAGTATACATATAAACAAAAAAAATACAATTTTTGCAAAAAAGAAATAGGTTTAACCGGAAAAAATCAGAATTAAATGTCTACCCAAACACAAGCAACAAGAAATATGAGAAATGTAATAATTTACACTGTAATTCAAAATAATTCAAAAAGATTCATGAAGATAAATAACTTAAAATTACGCCAATACAAGTAAATACTTTAAAATGTTGTATTCTAAAATATTTTTCTGGAACCCAATGCTTTTTTAAATTCGTGATAGAAATAATTCAAGAGATTTCATATATTTTTACAAATACGTTCAGTACGCTATTTTACAAACTAATACTTTTTGTTTGCTCATGGAATGAAACATATAATTTTGGAAAAGGCTATGTATGACGGTTAATTAACAAATTTTATTTGTTCCTATACGAAATAAAGAGGTTTTAATTTTTATCAGGAGTTCTTGTTAATTTATTGAAAATAAGTATTGAAAAAAATCAATAATATATAATTAAGACTTTCTCATCCTACTTTCTGTTCTTTTTATTTTTACGAAATTTTTAGTAATTTTGTTGTCACGTTTTTTTTTTTTAATTAAAAAAATACATAGATTTCGAAAATATTATTGACAATTTATTCCAAAATTACAAACTTATGGATTTGAATATATCTCTCAATTCATTTCATACATTCCCAGCAAAAAAATTTTGAAGTTGTTAAAGAAGAACGGATATTTTCATGATTTCTTTAGTAAGTATTCTATTTAATGCGTTTTAAATACATGCCTAAATTCTAATAAATTTGTCATCAGTGAAGGCATGAATTGTAATATTTTACTGTAATTTGGTATTCTCTTAAGAGATTTAACGAAAACGTGCATTTCATACAATAAAGATTAAAAATTACATTAATTTTTTTATTAGATTTTTGTTAAAATTAAATATTAAGTCCATTAAAATTAGTAATATTAAGTCCATTAATAAGAGAAGGAAAAAACCAAGACTGCTTAACGGATTTTAAAACACAATGGGTATTTTTCCTCTGCATGAATTTAAATCCAATCAAAATCAGTTAGTTATGTTTTATCTTATTCTATTTTTGTCAATATCACTCAAAAAAATTATTTAAATATTGATAATTAAATCGAAGTACCATTAATGCATTTTTAAATAAATATAGTGCACCAGTGAAAATTCACTTGAGAATCATCGAATATTCATTGGTTATAAGAACTCATTTAAATGACGAACTATTTTTGCAAATACGAACCCATGCATGCCAATGACACGCTAATGTTAAAATCATGCATGTTTCCCCTAAATATGAACCAGTTCATTATCAGTTCAACCCATGCATTTACTACTTTTTTTGCACGTCTTTTTTTGCTGGGTTCTCATATATATTTTTCCGAAAAAATCTTGGAAGTATGAGTTATAAACCTGACATCTATTCACCGAGATTTTAAATTATTTCAATGGAATTTTTAATATTTTTGTGACATGAAAACCATTTTTAAAGTGTTTTGAGGAAGACAAATAAAATTGTTTATATAAAAAAAAGTAAAACTAGAAATATTATACTTTTCCTTCCGAAAACACATATAGGTTTTATACCATGAGCAACTAGTGTAATTAATAGAGTTTTAATGTAATTTTTGCATTCAGAAAGTTAGAGACATTACATATTGCTAAATTTATAAAAATTTTGAAATAATTTTTAGCATTTCTGTTTATCTTACTTAATACCACGGAACTTAATTTTTTACCCTACTCCACTATACTACGTTTGAGTATACTAATCGATTAAGAATCATTTTCTGAATCGATTAAGCCATGTAAGTCTGACCGTCTGGTAGAGATTGAAATTTTCAGAACAATAAGCACGTATGCTTTTTGATCCAATGACAAAACCTTTTAAAAATGGTTAAAGTCCGTCCTTTATTTTACCTAGCCCCCATACATATACAAATGTATAAAGCCTTTTTCAGAAAATTATTCAACATAAATGCTTTATTACGAAAAATAAATCAAATTTTATACTCATATGGTCAACCACGGCAGAATATACTTTCTTACTTGTTATAAATTACAATGAATTTCAGTTACAAATTAATATGAATTGTTCATAAAAACACTTAAAAAATTTTAGCATTTTTTTGGCATTTTATAATCAATTTAGCATTTTTTCTAGCTTTATTTTGGATGGGATTTAGCCGCAACATTTTTGAGACCTGGTCACACTGGTCGGCGAGGCACTTTGCCTACATGAAATTTTAAAATAACAAGTAAGAGTGCAATATTCGGCTTTGCCGAATACCATAGTGTATTTAATAAATATAAATTTCATAAAATGTAAATGTATTTCATTTTCCCGACTATATCATTATTATAGCAATAGCAAAACAAAATGAACAACAACAACTCTAAACGAAATAACCACACAAAAAACAAAATACACAAGGCAGTAAAACCAACAGCATTCAAACATACGAAACGAAGTACATAAAA